GCGATTGTACGAGAATCGTGCAGTGTATGGAAGGCGTGCAACCGTTTCTACTGTATGGTCGCACGTCTTCCATCGAACAAGCAGGCTGGAAAACCCGCCGGGAATTATACGATTCTCGGTGAGTTAGTGACCTGCTTGTTCGACAACTGCCGAACGGGCAGTAATACTTTTACAATAAGTTAATTTTACTGCATGCCATCTGCCAAGGTTGCCAGTGTACTTATTTCAGTTTTCAACTGAACTTTCAAGCCGTCAAATGGCCGGTGTCCCAGCTGATCACATGTGCAGCACCATGGCAACTGCAATCCAATATAAAGTCTAAAATAAAATCTTCCTTGACTGTAATGTCCCATTACCACTAACCTGCCTGCTGAAATGCTGCATTCAGTGGACGGGCCAATATGTTATGGCAGCTCTGGCAGTGTGCGTGTTATCACGTGTTTTTTATCTTTGATTTATGTGGAGTGTACAATGCAGGTCCCCACAAATGAGAAATGTACTGTACATATAACTGTAATCATTGTAAGGTGATATAAAAAGTTAAATCAACCCTCTTACTATTGAAAAAAAAAAGAAACAACGGCATCCTTGCAAAGCAATCAATTACAACTTGCTGTACCTGCCCCACTACCTGCACCGCCAAACTCTGCTGTATTGAAGATCCAAGCTTGATGAAAGACCTTCAGCACAAGGCACACTTTAGGGTATGTTTAGCACCGTGGTTCCTTCAGTTGGTTATGTGTTTAGATGAAGCACTGAGATCTTGAGGAATGCTGAATTAAGTTTTACTTGCTTAGAAGAACATTGCATGTGTGTTTATAGCATTGTGAAGAAAACAGAGAAAAAAAAACAACTTCCTGTGTATAATAGATAAGCATGCACATAGAGACTAATATTGCACTACAGAACCATCTACAGCTCAAAGGACAAATTACAGTCAGTAATAAAATTAGTATGTACTGTTGCATTTGCAACGCCCCTTCTCAACAGCATATGCATTGCTATGTGACGTGTAGCTTCTCTCAAAGGAAACTGTAACAATCCTTTGGCAATGCTTGGTGAGTGCATCCGCAGTCATTTATTCTGATGAGCAATAATGGTTGTCGATAATAGCTTGCTCTTGAGTGTCCCTAAGCAGATGATACCGTACTTCACATCAATGTCAATTGTAAAGCGCTGTGCAAACTGTTGGTGCTATATAAATCCTGCATAATAATATTAATATATAATATCTGACACTCATAGAAGTGTTGAACACTAAACATCGTACAGCAAGCATAGATCTTCACATCAGGACATGTAAGTAATAATCACTTTAAAGCTGAACTCTAGGCAAACAGCTAAATTCACAGTTAACTTACTCACACAATATGCCCAAAACTTTGTGGGCAACTGACCATCACAAATACAGGTGAAACTCAAATAATTAGAATATCGTGCAAAAGTAATTGCAGTAAGTGCTGCAAAAGGGGCCCAAACCAAGTACTGAGTACATATGCATGCTTGTACTTTTCAGAGGTCCGATATTGTTCTATGTACAATCCTTGTTTTATTGATTGCATGTAATAATCTACTTTTTTGGGGTTGTGGATTTGGGGTTCTTGGGGTTTTCATGAGCTGTAAGCCATAATCATCACAATTATGACAAATCACGGCTTGAATTATCTTGCTTTGCATGTAATGAGTCTATCTCATATTTTAGTTTCACCTTTTAAGTTGCATTAGTGAAATAAATGAACTTTGCACGATATTCTAATTATTCGAGTTTCACCTGTATATGAGCTTGTTGGACATCCTATTCCAAAACTGTGGACATTCATATGGAGTTTGCCAAACTTAACGGCTATAATAACCTCTACTCCTCTGGAAATGCTTTGAACAGGGGTTTGGAGTGTGTCTATCAGAAGTTATACCCATTAAGCCAAAAGAGCATTTGTGAGGTCAGGTATTACCGTATTTGCCAGCGTATAAGACGGGTTTTTAAACTTAAAAACATGGATGTATGGATGTACATAGTACAAATCTTCCGGGTTCCGTCAGTATACTGCGGTGAGCCAATCACGGCAATCTTTGTATTCATGAATACAAAGCCTGTATTCATGAATACAAAGCCTGTATTAGTGAATACAAAGCCTGCCATGATTGCCTCAGCGCGTTATACTGATGGAACCCGGAAGACGGAGGACACAGCGGGGATTGCGGACAAGGTAAGAGACTGTAATCCCGAGTGTGGCTCGGGGTTACCGCTTATGGTACTGAAAGTTAACCCCGAGCCACACTCGGGAATACCGCCATGGAGGTTAGTGTGTGTATTCAAACATTATTTTGGGCTGTACTCGTCTTATACAACGAGTATAGCCCAAAACCTATGTTTTAACATAAAAAGTAGGGGGTCGTCTTATACGCCCAGTCGCCTTATACGGCGGCAAATACGGTAATCTAGAATCAGAAGACCTGGCTCACAGTCAGCCTTCCAATTATTGCCAAAGGTGTTGAATAGGGAGGAAGGCAGGGCTTTGATTTTCTAAAATGTCTTTGTATTCTATATGATTAATAGTACCATTCACTGTAAACATCAGACCTCAAGAATCTGGAAGGATCTCCACATACCTTTGGTCAAATAGGTACTGTAGATGGGATGGTCAGGTGTCCACAAAGTTTTCACCATATACTGTATGTCTTACCTGCTAAAGGATTGTATTTTTGTCCATCCACTCTGAGATTTATACCTTCCTGCCATACAGCGCAGCGCTGGTGGCCTGACTTTTCTCTACTGCAGTAAAGAAACACAGCTGGGTCATCTCCCTGCCCTCAGCCTCTGGCTAGACAGTGAAAGAGCAACAACTTACCAATGAGGTAATCTCTCTGCTCTATGCTTTTGTCAACATGTTTCTTTTAATCACAATTAGGACATCTGGATGGCCCCAAGTACTGTTCCTTCCACTCCTAATCTAAGTTGCATTTAAAATACATCTTATGTATGCATTTATTGCTTTATTATTTATGTATTAATGTATTATTGCTTTATTAACCTATGCCTGGTGTTCAGCTTTAAAATTTCACAAAATTAAAATTTTTTACTTCGCTCTCTTAATTTCACCCCTTTTGCTAATATCCTAGTTTTATAGTTGTATTTATTTTACTTGACAGTGTATACTCTCATTAAAGAGAATTTACAATTTAAACATAAATCTCCCATTAGTTTTGGTCCCCTATGGTTGTATATTAATGGTAAAGGATCATCACCTCCTAAGCTCCGTATTGCATAATAGCGGTAACTACATGCCACAGCAACTTACAAAGTGCTATATTGTAAAACTGAGCCTTACACATAATAGTGTTTGTAAATATCCATAGACTTTCTGTTCATGTTGTCGTATTAGGTCTCACCAGTAGGAAGTGCTGTAGTTGAAATATGTAACTGCTATTATATGATTGTTAATATAAAGAAAGATCACTGGCAAACAGGGGATTGGTTTAACTTACTGTTTAATTTAAAAATAACAATGTTATTGTACAACATAGATATGATTTTGTATTTCATGTTATACATTTTTGTATAGATTTTGTTCAGTACAAAAAGTTACATTTTTAAAATTACTTTTCTTAGCCAGGTGCTTATGAAATATTGCATATTAATATCATATTTTCCACACTACTAGAAGGGGGTACACTAAAAACAGTACTTTAAACTTCAAAATATACATATTATTCAGAGTGTAGCAGCAAAATACTAGGTTTCAAATAGTCTGGTGAAAGTTAATCTGATAAAGTTCAGCTCCATTCACAACATGCAGCTAAATGCGTCAGGAAACGGGACACTATCTATAGTTTGCATGGGATTTTGTAAGCAAGCACTGCTGGGGTTTTTTAATTGGAAAGTTTGTGATTCTCTGCAAACAAAGTTCTATGGTACTACACTGCATTAAATGTCTATTTGTAAAAGTACTGGAAATTATATAAAAAATACCGTAAAAGATGTGTAATATTACAAAAATAAAATAAATGGAACCAAAAACATTACAGTTTTCCTTTTAATATCTAAGTATTGCCATTTAATTTTTTTTAAACCTGATTTTTTTCTCATCCGATTCGTATATTTGTATAGCAAGTTAGTCCTAAAATGCCTAATTCGCTGCTCTAATTAGATTAATTTAATTGTATCCCATTGCTAGCATGTGACTAAGGAATGCTTTGTTCTTTCTTATTGAAAATTAAAATAATGAAAATTACTATGGATGTCTTTTTACCTTAACCATTTCACAATTGTTTTTCTTCAGATTACAACACTGGATCTCTCCTGCTTCATGAAACCAAAGTCTTCTAACATGAGCTATCATTATTCACTCAAGCATATCATTGTCATGCTCACCATCACACTGCATTCTGCACCACCAATAAGAGCCTTTGGATGTGCCAAGTGTTTTCTAACTTATAAGAACAGAGAATATGCAAACTGCATAGAACAAGGAGTTGTGGATTTAACAAAATCCATTCAGCATCTTCCAAATCAAACATTGTGGTTAAATGTATCACTAAATTATATTACTGTATTAGAACACAAAGTTTTCTCACACTTACCCAAACTTCTAGAACTTCGGCTGAATAGAAATCAAATTAGCACAATCCATTCTGGAGCCTTTTACAATTTATCCTATCTTTATTATCTGGACCTCAGCAATAATTTAATACAGTCATTGCAAAATGTCACCATAAAATATTTGACAGGCCTAGAAATCCTTCACCTTAGCAATAATAAGATAAACACAATAGAAAATGTACAGTTTAATCCTTTAAAGGTTTTACAAGAACTTGATCTGTCTTTCAATCAAATTTCAGATTTCAGATCTGTGGCTGAAGGACTGAAACACTTGAACATGCTGTACAATCTGAATATGAGCTCCAATTCTTTAGCTGATTTACGAAGTAACAAAACTCTGTTGGTCCTATCATCACTGAACTTTTTAGATCTAAGCAAGAATTTGATTTCAGTTTTAGATCTTAGTGAATTTTATATGCCTAATCTAACAGGCCTCAATGTTATGAGAAATAATCTGTGTTCAGTAAATGGAAGTGCCTTCAATAATTTACCTAACTTATCAGATGTTACCTTTGATGAAAACCCTTTAAATTTATCAGTACTTCTTCAAATGGAAATCCCCAACTTGACTGAACTTCACTGGTCAAGCATGAGACCTGCACTTGACTCTGACCTTTCTATTGCTTGTCGGGTTTTTCAGTCTTTTCCCAAGTTAAGGATGTTGGATATCAAGCATTCAAAGATCTCTGTTTCAAAACTGCACATCATCGGTGGGTGCACTAACCTAACGTCACTTATTCTTTCAACAAGTGCACTTGATCACCTAGTAAGCTCAGAGCTTCAGGCTTTCAAATACCTTGAAGTTTTGTATCTCGACAAGTGTAAACTCGGAATGATTCATAACACTACATGGATTGGTTTGGAAGCCCTTCGTACCTTAATCCTTGAAAGAAATGTTCTATCAAACTTACCAGATTTCTTGTTCAGTCCTTTAATCAATCTTCGGTATTTGGACTTGTCAAAAAATCACTTAACCTACATCAACCAAGAAGCATTTAAAAGTTTGCATAAATTAACTCACCTTATTCTGAGAAGCTGCCAAATTGTAGTTATTACCCATGACAGTTTTTATCATTTATGGAATCTCAGGTACCTGGATGTTCAAGAGAATAGTATATCAAAGGTAAAGAGTAGGTCTTTTAAAAAACTGAATAGGCTTCAGACACTTTTACTGTCAGGGAACAAAATTCACACAATACAGAAGTTTGGATTAGAAGGACTTAAGTCATTGGAAACTCTTTCTTTATCTAAAAATAACATTTACCGATTAACGGATAATATTTTTACAGGGTTGAAATTTCTAATATATTTAAATATAAGCGGAAACGAGTTGTCTTTTAACAAACATTACTCTAGGAGACCATTTGAGATGTTAAAGGTCTTAGAAACCTTGGATTTAAGCTACCAGGTTCGTCATTATGAAGACAGTGTCCCAGAAACACTGTTTGAAGGCCTGGGTTCCCTTAAAAAACTTGACATGAGAGGTATTCCCGTCTCTTATTTCACAAATGTGTCATTTTCCCATTTAACAAATTTGACTAATTTGGATTTGTCAGGTTCCTTTCAAGAGTCAGATCAACATTCCATAGTTGATTTTATGCACAAATGTTCCCAATTAAGACATCTTATCCTTGACAACAACAACATCCAAGACCTACCAGAAGATATGTTTGCTCATTTTACAACCTTAGAGAAATTATCATTGAGGAACAACAAACTTAGGAACATTAGTCAGAAACTTTTGACACCTTTGACTAACTTAAGTTATTTTGATGCCTCTATGAATCCTCTTTCCTGTTCCTGTGAAAATTATTGGTTCCAGAATTGGTCAGAATTCAACACTGATGTTCAAGTACCCTTTATACTATCATACAGCTGTTTTGGCCAAGTAGCACTTGACATGAATTTTGTAAACCAGGACCTCAGCTTTTGTGGAACTGATATCTCTGTGTTCTTTTTCTTTGGAAGCTTTAGTTTAACTCTGCTCTTCATGGTGACAAGCCTTGTGATGATGAAGCTGAAGTGGTCCATACATTACTTTTACTACATGGCCAGAGCATGGTGGCAATGGAAACTACAAAAGGAGGACAGAATTTACAAGTATGATGCTTACATTTCATACTGCTCTGATGATGAAGAGTGGGTCATGAAGGAATTATTATTCCATTTGGAATGCCAGGGCAGAAGGAAATATAAAATATGCTTCAAACCTAGAGATTTTATTCCTGGGGTTTACCATATTGACAACATTCAGGATGCCATAAATAATAGTCGTAAAACCTTATGTATAATCAGCAGAAATTACCTTGAAAGCCAGTGGTGCAGAATGGAAATTGAAATGGCTTGTTCTAAAGTCTTCTACCAAAGAGAGGATGTACTGCTTGTTGTATTTTTGGAAAATATTCCAGATTACAGGTAAAGTATGCTATTTTAAATATAAATGTCAAGACCAGACTTTATACCTCCATTGTTAAAGAGCTTTGAAAACATAGCAGAGCAATCTCCCCCAACACTCATCAAGGACATGTCATTATGCTGAATAGACATGTGCACAGCAAAAAAAAATTGTTTTGGACAAAACAAATAAAAATGAAAAAACATTTGTATTTGTTTTGTCAAAGGAAACAAATATGCTGTTTTGGATTCAGAGACAACGAGCCTCCGAATCCAAAATCTCATAATGAAACTGCAGAAAAAGTGGTAGCCATATTATCCGCCGCGCCTTAAGCGCATGCGCGCCACCATCTTGGAGTGTATCTTGGTGCTAAGATATACTCCAAGATGGCGGCACGCATGCAGAGAATGCATCGCTGTCTGATATGTTTACTGCTTGTTCCGCGTATGACGTTACCCAATGATGCGCACTCGCGGTATCATGTGAAGTCATGCGCCTGCCTCCAAGATGGCGGCGGTCATGCGCATAACACAACTGCAGTCAATATGGCCACCAAGAGTTCTGAAAACTGATTTATGTATGCCTGAATATAGTTTTTGTATTTTCGGCATATAATAGATTTGTTATTTCAGATTCGGACGAACCGCTGAATCAACTGAATTTCGTTGACTTGCAGGTTTGTCCAAATCCGAATGCACCTGTCTAATGCTGAATAACAGTGTCATTCTGTCTTGCTTGTTCCTAAAATTGCTCTAAAGAATTGATTCATATATCAAGTATCAAAAGCAATGCTATAAGCTAAATTATTCATAGGAATATAGAGAACAAAAGCAGAGACCCTTGATCTGAGCAGCAGACTGCAGAGCAGTAAAGGGGATGGGACAAGTGTGCACCCCCCCACTCCTGCACCCAAACCAGGCCACTTGCCCTCAACATGAGGAGGGTACTTTGCCAGGGCGGACTCCCTGGCAAAGCATCTTGTCCCCATGTCATTGAGGACAAGGGCCTCTTCCCCAGAACCTTGGCCCGTTGGTTGTGGGGGTCTGCGGGCAGGGGGCTTATAGAAATCTGGGTGCCCTCTTTCATAACGCCTACTTATCCCTAGTCATTCACCAAATAAACAGTACAATTGTAAATAAACACACACCGTAAAAAAAAGTCTTTTATTTTAAGGGAAAAAAAACAACAGTTTTTGACAATGCTTTTATAAAAAAAAATGTTCATCAATGTAATCAACAGGTCAATCACGTCATCCAGTGATGTAAATTCACGTCAATCACTATGGTCAATAGCTGCCGAAAGAAAAAGGTCCAAAGCCCACCGGCACGTCCAATCCCGGCGAAAATCGGTCGCAAAATGACAGCTCTGACCCAAATGTCAAGAAAGGGGCGGAGCAAGTCATGACATCACAATACTTGCTCCGACCCCTTGTTTCTGTCCCCTAATTCAATGTAATCAAAGGCAGAGCAAGTCCCGTGACATTATGGGGGTGATTTACTAACCTAAACACACACACACACCAGGTGTGTGTGATTTTCACACAGCAAAACGTATTTATCAACCAAAAAGTCTCTAAAAGCATATTTCCACTAATGCCATTTATGGAAAAATCATGCACATGATGCATATATAATGCTGCTTCACAGTTTAGACAAAAATGGTTAGCTCATGCATTTACATTCCTGCATTCATCAACGCAAGCAACATAACATAGAGCTAATTTACACCACATTACCTTGCAATTCATTGCAGGGCTTTGCACAACACACCTGCTGGGTGTGTACACACTACAAAGGTGTTTTGATTCCTCCCATAGATCATGCTGGGAGGGAACACACTACAGAGGTGTATACACGTTCGTGGTGTGTTTAAAAGGTTAGTAAATCAACCCCTATGACTCGCTCCGCCCTTTTGTTGACATTCAGGAGCAAAGCTGTCATTTTGTGTCTGATGTTGGTTGGGATCAGACGTGTCGGCTGGAATTTTATCTTTCGGCAAGTTGGTGGCCGTTTTCCATCATGATCGACGTGGATCTACATCGCTGGACGATGTGATTGACGCAGGGATTACATCAATTGACTTTTTTTTTTTTTTTAAAAGACTTGTGTTTCATTTTTTTAAATTAAAAAAACCTGTATTGTGTTTTATTTCATTAAAGGACTTTTTGAATGGTGTTTATGTACTGTATTTGGTGAATGAGTGTGGATAACTACCCCTACTCATTCATGGGGTCTGCTTGCAGACCCCCACAACCACCGAGCCAGGGTTGTGGGGAAGAGGCCCCCATAGGTACTCATCAACTTGGTGACAAGGTGCTATGCCAGGGAGTCCCCTCCGGCAAAGCACCCTCCCCATGTTGAGGTCATGTGACCTAGTATGATGCAGGAGCAGGGGCACACGCTCGTCCCCCCTTGCCTGCTCTGCCAGGCTGCTGCTCGGATCAAGGGTGTAGTAAGGGATGTTAAGAGGACCATATGCTTTTTTTATGGTTTCTGTGGATTGTCAAAAGTAAAAAATAAAAAAAAAGCAAATGTCACTTTTTTTTTTTAATGTCACTTTTTTTTTAATGTCACTTTTCTGCAACTAATTTTCGGATTCGTACAAATTCAAATACCGAAACGAATTGACTTTCGGACCCGAATCCCAAAAACGAAATAACTAAAAATCCAAAATGAAACTAAACAATTTTTTTGCCAGCTTACATGTCTAATTATTAAGGTAACATTCTGTAACAACTTCTAGGTGGAGGTCTTTGCATAACTATTTATGCAACTACTTATGCTATTGTAGCTCCCCCCTGACCCCAGAGACATTTTACTCTTAGGGGCAGATCCTTAGCCAGTGAAAGGATGTGTGATTAAGAAGTTGGTCGCTAGTCACTTTAAGTGCCTTTTCAAATGCTTTATTGGAGAACTTCATAACAGGAAGAAAGGGTATTGGGCTTAGGACATCCATGACAAAAATAGAACAGACTCCAGACTCACCAATCTCTTTCAGTCTTCCACAATGCAGAATCAATAAGAGAACAGGCTGACACTGGCCAATACAGCAACAGCTGAACAGGAACAGCCATGAGATCTTCCATATGAGAGACGCCAGACTTGCTCCTGAGGTCCATACTAGTACCAGGCACCTTCCGTAGCCATCCAGCTTCTCTGGTCCTCTTCCTAAATTAGTTCCTGACCCCTCCAGGGTTCACAGGTGTGGCCTCCTATAGGCTTGAGGCCTAGCCAGCATTTTAATCTCTGAGCATCCCCCTCTCCCCCCAGTACTCTACCCCTTGAGTACTGTATATATGCACTCCCCTAGCATGCACCACTGGCCATGAACCTCCCAGTAAATGGCTGGTGAGGCATGGACACTCAAGATGTTCTCCCATTGGCTGCCCCACACTGCAGTAATATGGTCACACCTACACACCTACTCCAATACTAAGTACCGATGTTAGCGCTTTAATTTATTAAACACAAGCAGCTTCTGTAAGGTCCCACGCATGCTGGGGACCTCGCGGCGCTCCTTACATCACCGGCCGCACATCTCCTCCCCCTCATTCCTATGAAACCATGCCACCCGCACCCATATGACCTTCCTGACCCCTGTGAAGTGACCGCTGCACAGCCCTCCTGAGACCTAGCACAGCCACCTGAGACCCTGCACAGCCCTCCTGAGAGCCTGCACTGCCCACCTGAGACCCCGCACAGGCCAACTGAGTTCGTGCACTACCTACCTGACACCCTGCACAGCCCCCCTGAGGCTTTGCACAGCCTCAGTTGGTTACTCGCCCACTCCAAAACTCCCCCCCCCAAGCAGAAATTCCTTCACTAAGCCCAAATTCGCTCCACGCAAAATGCAAAAAGTCTTCGCCCTACTCCTAGTAAAAAGTTTTCTGCTCACAACACAAATCATAATCCCCCCCCCCCCCATATCTCCTCCCAGCATAAATCTCCGTCCACCTCAAATCTCTCCTCCATGCAAAAATCCTCATTCCCCTCTCCATATCTCTCCTCCCAGCACAAATCGTCACCCCCTAATCTCTCCTCCTAGCACTAATCTTCACTTAACCACCAATGAATTTCTTCCAGCAATCTGCAGCCCAGCTGGGAGAGATACTAATTCCTGTAATAGCAGGCAGTGATGGCATTGGGACCTGGGGCACCTGGCAGGAGATGTGAGCCAATTTTAACTCCATTGGCTGCAACGTCTTTTATGAAGGCTCTACATTCCTTCTTGCACTTGTGTACATTAGGGATGGGCTCGATGTTCGAGTCGAGCAAGAGTTCCACTCGAACATCGGCAGTTTGTGTGTTCGACAAACACACGAACTGTAAGGGCATTGGTGGGCTATTTGCCTGCCGAGCGCCCCACAAGGCACTGCGCACCACGCAGTGCCTTGTGAGCCCTGATTGGCTAAAGCCTTGCACCTGACCGCAGGTCAGGTGCAAGACTTTGCCCAATCAGGGCACAGTACTCTGTAAGAGCCATGGTTGGGCAAAGTAATAATGACTTTGCGCAATCATGGCTCACCTGTCAGAGGCCGTACAACTGTAAACAGTTGGGTGGAGCTAGCTAGCTGTCACCGCTAGCTCCACCCAATTGTTTATATTTTGTCGTGATCTGCCCCAATGCCCAGTGCCGAGGGCATGTGGCCTGGTATTGCAGGAAGAGGGTGGGTGCTTGCTCATCTCCCCCCCTTCCCTGCCCTGCCAGGCCTGTGCTCAGATCAAGGGTCTGGTTGGGAATTTTAGGGGGGACCCCACACCTTTTTTTCCCATTTTGGGGGTGGGGTTCCTCCTTAAAATTCCTACCAGACCTTAAGGGCCTGGTATGACTTTGAGGGGGAACCCCACGCACTTTTTTAAAAAAATTGTAACTTGGGGTCCCTCCTAAAACTCCTACCAGACCAAAAGGGTCTGGTATGACTTTTGGGGGGAACCCCATGCTTTTTTTTTTTTTTTTTTTAAATGCGGTCCCTCCTAACTTTCCTACCAGACCTAAAGAGTATTGTTTGAGAGGGGGAACCACACACTTTTTTTTCTTTCTTTATAAATGTCATTTTTGCTGCAGCAGGTTCTATACATCGTACAGATGCACCATTTTACAGGCAGGTTAAGGGGACCCCCCAAGCACGATATTTAAAGGAATTTTTCATTTTTTTATTGTTTCACTTTAAGTGCTGTTAAAAATCACTGCTCCTTTAACAACGGTATTTTTTACGTTTTTTTTTTTCATTGATACATGTCCCCCAGACAGTACTCAAATCCCCATACCCTTTTTGGCCAAAAACTTGCCTATAAGCCTTCAAAATGGGGACAATTGATTTTTATTGTTCTGGCCCCATAGACTTGCATAGAGTTCGAGTTCAAATTCTAATTTTTTCCATGTTCTAAAGTTTGAATTCAACCGAACAAGAGTGTGTTCGGCCTATCACTTGTGTACAGTGTATAATCACATCTAGCTGCACTAAGGTTAACAGAATATAATCCTAGAGATTGGCAGGTATGGAGAGCTGTCTATAAAAAGAGCAAACAAATAAAAACACACATTTTTGCAAAACATTTTAGCAAAGAAAAACTCCCGATTTTCGAATTCCTAGAAAAATGTGTTGAGTGTCCTAAAAATAACTAATTTTATTCTTATCTGTGCTTATGAATTACAGACCTAACCTGTTTTATTTTCTGATTCCTAATCCCACATGTCCTATTTTATAATGACTTGCTTTCAGAAATTCCATTAGCTATAAAGCCAGTAAGACCTTTGTGATAAAAACTTTACTGTGTTATATAAGCTTTTATTTCCACAGCCAGATATCCTCACAGCCTATTATTTTCTTCAATTTCTTACTAGACTTTCGGCCTACCACAAGCTAAGGAAGCTGATCAAGCAGAATACATACATTAACCTTCCTGAAGATCCTCAGGGCCATGAGTTGTTCTGGTTCAAGCTGCGAAAAGCATTAGACGTTGGGGCATATGAAGAAGACACTATACAACTCTCTCTGGCTAACTGATCTTGTTCATGCTATAAACTGGACTTTTATAATACATTAATTTTACAGATATAGATATGCTTTTATGTTTTATTTGTTATTAGGACTCTAATCTCCCTTATACATTTTATTGATTAAAAGAAAACCAAACAATGAGCACATCTTACAAGTGCGCGGCAGAATCTGGCACTCAGAACACATGCTTCAGGTTTCTTGTTGATGCTCCCATATCTGACAAATATACTTATGGTGACACTAAACTTAGGAGATAAATCTTAAAAATGGTAGTAGTAATGCATGCATTGTGTTGCACAGTACCATGTGTTAATTGCATGGAACCAAGGGATGACTGACCCGGAAGGAGCAGAGCTGACCTAAGGGGGGCGTGGCTTGCTCCGTAACGCCGAAAGCTTGTGGAATGTGGTGGTGATGAAGGGAGGTAGAGACGGCTATGAATCGGCATTGATTGAGCCCTGAAGCGGTTTCTCACTAGGGGGCAAAGGGCAGAGCCAGAGCAACGAAGGAGAGAGGTGGAGGGGACCGACCTGGAGCCAGAATTAAACACATTGAAAAGCGGCAACGCTTACAGTACCGGCGGCAGGTGACGTCACAGACGCTATCAAAGACACACACAGCAGCTAAAGGCAGCCAAAGGTAACAATGAGAAGTAAAAGGGGACAGAGACCTGGAGTTACTGGAGCATCCACCCCAGGGACCTTAAGGAGATATTTGATGGCAGAGATGGCGGAGGGGGAAACACAGGGAGAGCCAGCAAGCCCCTTACCAGAAAGTGGCCGTCAGAGGCAGAGGTAAGACCTCCCACTGGGACTTTTAAACAACAAACTTTTTCTGATCCCCAATGCGAGGCTATATCCCCACAATCAGCCGGGTATGAAGATAGAACTGAGTTGGAAAGCTCATTAAGCACACTACCTAGTAAAACTGACATCACACAGATGCTACTGCATTTAGAATGCTCTATTAAACAGGAAGTGGCGAAGGTGAGAGGTGATCTATCCCACCTCCTAAAAAGAGTAGAAGAAAATGAAATCAGACTGGATTCCCAGGAAAAGGCTATGCGTGACCTCCAGGGAGCATTGGGGTCTATCACTAAGCAATATTGATCTGCTATGTATAGGAAACTATACCTGATACTGAATTTGAAACCAGGGCCGGCCTTAGGGGTGTGCGAGCAGTGCGGCCGCACAGGGCGCCTAAAGGCCTAAGGCCGGCCCTGTTTGAAACCACCTTGCAGTGTATATTTAATCAGATTCTAGGCCGCTCCGAGACGACATCTCTTTGTTTGGATCACAAAAAGTGTTGCTTTAAGTACACCACGCGACATTATATGCCGAATGCATTATTATGAGGATAAACTGGATATAATGAGACACCTGAGGACTGTCCCGCATATTGATTTTAAGGGTACTCGCTTACTGATTTTCTCAGACCTGGCAGGAGAGACACTAGCCAGAAGGAGATTGCTGAAGCCTCTTTTAGACAATCTCAGAGCAGCGGATGTACCCTATAGATGGGGCTATCCGTTTAGTTTAACGGCTAAGAAAAATAGACAATCTGTGACTTTACGGTTCCCAGAGGAGATAGAATCTTTTTGTGCGAAGCTTGAGATTACTGTCCCTAATCTCTTGTTGGAGAAACGAAAGCTATACATATTCACAAATGCCAGATCATAGGTGGTCTGCCCCCAACAGGAAATAATGTATAGAAAATAATAGGCACTCCAATATTTAACAAATTAGTCTGAATAATTAAGGATGGTGTGTAGGAGCATTCAAAGCCCCCCTTCTCTTTCTTTTTCCCCCCTTTTTCCTGTTTTTTCTTCCTTTTTTTTCTCTGACTTTTTAAATCTTTTTTCCTATAATCCACATTTTTAATAACGATTTTCTTTTTCTTATCTCCCCTCGCCTATAGATAGGGCGAGAGGGAGACAAAGACTGTTTATGCACTGAAGTGTATCTGTATTATATGTTCTACACTGTCTATACTGATTGTTAACCTGTATAAGACAGAGTCTGCCCCTTTTTTTTTTTATTTATTGGAATTTTTTTTTTCTTATCTCATTGTATTTTTTTTTTCATGTTGTCCTTTGTTAGGTTAGTTATGGATAATGCTATCTATATTGAGTCTATATGGAGCATTATGTATTGTTATGTTTGTTATGTTACGTTAGTAATTGGCATCCCAACCCAAAACTCAGCAAGGAGCGGGAGTTACCCCAGTTTGAGGATAAATGGCTATGATTAACTTAATAACATATAATGTGAGAGGATTAAACACTCAGGGTAAACGACATGAAGTGATAAGGGAATTGAAATGGAAAGACGGGCAAATAGTCTTTCTACAGGAAACATATCTGACACATACCACTACTACTAGACTTAGTAAGAACATATTGTCACAATGGTTTTACAGTCTTTCAGATACTCACAGAGCCAAAGGGGTGGCTATTGGCATTCATAAAAATATTCCATTTATATTCTCAGACATGCAGACAGATGATCAAGGCAGATATTTATTCATTAAGGGTTCTATAAATAATACACGGTGAACATATACTGCCCAAACAAAGAACAGATTCCTTATATTTCTAATGTCTTTTCTCGCCTGTCTGATTTTGCAGAAGGGATGCTAATAGTCTCCGGCGACTTGAATGTCGCACTGGAACCTACGATTGATACCTCAACGGGACAGTCCAATATATCATATTAAAAAATACTAGTTTTGAAAAAACTTTTAAATAAAATGCAATTAGTGGACACTTGGAGAACCATGCACCAAAAGGATAGAAATAACTCCTACTTCTCAACTGTACATAATAGATATTCTCGTTTAGATTAAATTTTTTTGAGTCACCACCACTTAGACAGTTTGAGTTCATCACAAATAGTGGAGATAACTATCTCAGATCATGCCCTGGTTATTACTATTATAAACCTTTCCCTAGGGATAACGGGAAACCGTGTCTGGAAACTCAACGAATCTCTGTTATGGAGTCCAGCGGATGTACAGAAACTGAATGAGGAACTTAGCAAATTTTTTGAGATCAATGATTCCCCAGACATAACACCCGCCACCCTTTGGTAAACACATAAAGCCGTAATAAGAGGGAAATTAATTGAATTGGGGACCAGGAAGAAAAGAGAGAGTAAGGAGAACATAGAAGACCTGTAAACACAGATTAGAGAACTGGAAACGTTACACACAAAAACGTTGGTTCTAGAGCATTTACAACAATTAGTGAATAAGAGGGAAGAGTTAAAAAAGTATTAAACACTAAGACACTTCAGAGGTTCCATTGGCTGGCGGGAACACAATATGAATGGGGAAACAAACCGGGAAAGGTATTATCAAACTCACTGAGACATAAGAAAACGCAGTCTTATATCCCTAAAATAAAAACAAAGGACTCTATGGCATTCATCTCTAGAGAAATTGCTTGCGAATTAAAAGAATTCTATTCCACACTATATAATATCTCAGAAAATCTGACGCAAAACACATTAGACCAAAGACAAGAGGAGATAAAGAGATACTTGGATAGGGGAGAAGTACCCTTACTACCCTCCGACTCTCTAGGTAAACTGGAAAGGGAGATTGAAGTAGGGGAGTTGGAGAGTAGTCTCTCTGAAATGATAAAAGGAAAAGCACCAGGCCCTGATTGTCTAACGCTGACTTATTACATGAACTTTAAAGAAGTATTACTACCCTGGTTAGCTAAGTATGTGAATTCATTAACGGGAGGAGGAATACTCAGACCAAAAACCACTTTGACATATATATCAGTATTCCCCAAACCGGATAAAGATCCTACGAGTTGTGCGAGCTACAGACCCATATCTTTACTAAATGTGGATATTAAGCTGTTTGCCAAGGTCTTTTGCAAAAAGAATCCTGCCATTGATACCACAGTTTATTTCTGCTGATCAAACTGGATTTATTCCTGGTAGAGAGGCAGGAGATAATTAATTGCGGACTCTGACAGTGATGACTTATGTGAAACAACAATCCCAGCCTACACTATTACTCTCAACAGGCGCAGAAAAAGCGCTTGATAGGGTGGCATGGGATTACTTGATGCTCACATTACAACATATGGGAATGGGGAGTAAAATGATGAGCTGGATCTCGGCACTATACAAGGAACCAAAGGCGCATGTAAGAGTTAATGGCATCCTTAGTGAGGGATTTACATTGGGAAATGGTACACGTCAGGGCTGCCCTCTCTCCCCCCTACTATTTGCGATATCATTGGAACCATTTTTGGCAAATATAAGAATAAATAACAACATACACGGAGTAGCTATAGGAAACAACAAACATAAGAATTCCGCTTACGCAGATGATATACTTTTTTATATTCAACAACCTAGAATAACTATTCCAAATTTAATAGCCACTTTTCGGGAATATGGGGGGTTATCTAATTTTAAGATTAATCTAGATAAGTCGGAAATGTTGAATATTAGCCTGCCATCTAGAGAGGTAGAATCTATGCGTCCAAGTTTCCCTTTTAAGTGGCAGGCTAAGAAGCTGAAATATCTGGGGATTAACTTAACCGCTCATCAGCAGGACCTGTTTAACTATAATTATATTCCCCTCCTGAATGAAGTTCGGAAAGACCTGCAACAATGGACTTCATTATATCATTCATGGATTGGTAGAATTAATATAGTTAAAATGAATGTATTACCGAAGTGTATATTTTTATATCAGATGTTACCTATTGCTTTACCCAATAGTTTTTTTAGAACAATAAAGACAATGATATCCAGATATGTCTGGGGTAGGAAGAATGCGAGAATCTCACACAGCACATTAGTCAGGACAAAATAACAGGGTGGGTTAGAACTACCTGATTTCAAACGCTACTATCAGGCAGTAGTCCTATCCAGACTTTTAAATTGGCACTTTGATAAAATATCTAAGTTTTGGGTAGGGATAGAGTTTGAAATCTGTAATGCTGATCTGAGTGTGGTATGCTGGCTACCAAAGCAATACAGAGGTACTGC